GCAACAGACATCGTAAACCAAAGTCGGTTAATGGCGCAGCTAACAACAATCGAAATGAAGTCAGGAGAGAAGGGAATGGCGTATATCAGTCGCTGCCGCGAGCTGCGCGACAAGCTTCTTCGATGTGGAGGATCGATTTCAGAAGACGCATTCGTCACGGTTGTCATCGGCGGTCTTGGTTCTCACTGGCGCTCCACTCGCCACATACTACGAGCACACGGGAGAATCTCCGAAGCAGCACTTTACACCGAAATCCATGCTGAACAGCAAGAGATGGACCTGCAAGAAGAACGACACAAGAGAAAGGTATCAGCACCAGAGTTCGCGTTTCACACCCAGCGACGGTACAACAACAACAACAACAATCGGCAGTAACAACTGAAGCCAGTATCTCCGTTTTGTCACATCTGCAAAACCTCAGGGCATCCTCATACGCACTGCCCGTATCGTCAGCAATCGAGAACACCACAGCGACAACTTCGGCCTTCAAGTACCCAAGTCACTTCAACGCAAGCAAATCCCACGACAATGATTCAAGCTTCAACGACTCCAACAGGACAACCTGCACAAGGAGCAAGAAACATCGTCAACTGCATGGCAAAGATAACAGATTCCTGCATCACCGAGTCACCACCGCATTACTCACCAGAAGAACGACTCGACGAAACCACACCTCAACGCGAGTCACTTCAGCCGAACCTGACATACGCCGCCATCGCCCCAAGCGAGCCATCCGGAAGAGACACTTGGTTATTGGACAGTTGCTGCGGACAACACATGTGCTCCTCAGGACGTTTCGTTCAACGCGAGCACCAACTCCAACGAGAAGCCGTCATCACCGTCGCCAATAATCAGAACCTGCGCACAAGACGACAAGGCATAGTACAGCTTCAGTCATGGGAGACGACCGTCGTACTACAAATGTCAAAAGTCCTAATAACAAAAGGACTCGGCTACAACTTACTGAGCGTTAGCCAGTTGATGGCGAAAGGCATACACCTGGAAGCCGACAGTACCACCAAGGAGTTCAAACTGTACCACGGGAAGGGCGTCCTCTATATCGGAAAGGCGGTCCTGAATAACAACGTCTTCGTCCTTGACTTCGTCCCAGACCTGGGCACCGCAGACAGCGACGCCATCGTGAACTTCGCTGACTTGACACATCCTCCGGATCTCGACCCCGACTTCAGCCCTGAAGGCTTCTGGTACTCGCATACCATCCCTGAAGCAGAACGAACACACGCGTTAGTAACGATACAAACATCGGCAGCAGCAGAGACAACATCGGCAGCAGCAGAGACAACATCGGCAGCAGCAGAAACATCATCGGCAGCAGCAGAATCATCGTCAGCAGCAGCGACACTAGTTCTCGCTGACGAAGCACCACCAACACCCGCACAGCAGCTGAACCCAACTCAACGAGAAGTCCACAAAAGCGCCAACTTCGTCGCTAGCTTCTACTCCAACTCTGACGCATATCGACGCTCACCCGGACACCGCGCCTCCGAAGACATCTGGCACGCACGCATGGGACATCCAATCAACACTATGTTTAATAAAACAATAAGAGCAGGAGTCCTAGACAAGGACTCATTACTACTACCCGACGGCAGAGAACTTCAACGGGCACGAGGAACTTGCCTTACCTGCCCCGAAGTCGACTTACCACATCGACCGTTCACTTCTCACCACAACCCAAGCGCACCCACGTACGCACCACTCGAGAAGGTGTACAGCGATATTCTCTACAATCGAGAACCAGGACAAGTTACTTACAACTAAACTATCACCTTCATCGACGCCGCCACTCGATACGTCTGGCACCTAAACCTACCTAACCGCGACATGGCACTCGCAGCGTTCGCCGCCTGGCTACCAGTAGCAGAGAGAGAGTCGGGAGCACAACTGAAAAGCTTCCAGTCAGACGGAGGGGGAGAATACACCTCTCAGTGGTTCAAGCAATACCTGGCAGAAAGAGGAATCAAGCAGCTCCTCTCCCTTCCCTGCGCCCATCAGCAGCAAGGTGTCGCAGAAAGAATGAACAGGACTTTGCAGAACACCATGCGCAAACTGTTACGTGGCATGCGGCTACCCAACCACTAGTGGCCTGCAGCAATGGACCATGCTGTCATGCTGCACAACTAGATGTTGTCGTCCTCACTTCCGAACAACGCATCACCGCATCTGCTGTGGACAGGGAAACAGGGCAGCACAAAAATGTTACGAGTTTTCGGGTGCATGGTACAGTACCGACCCCCAGAAGCACGAGCGGGAAGATTTTCACTACGCGCACAGTGAGGACTACACCTCGGCATCGAAAAGAATTACAACGCGTGGAAAATCTTCGACGTCCACTCCAAGGAAACAGTAGCAGCACGTGCACGTGACGTAATCTTCTACGAACGTCTCACAATTCAGACGTACCTTGCCAACTTGCACGAAAATCAAGATCCCACAGGTGGCTTTCGTGGTGACCGAGCCTTCGCCTCAGCAGCGGACGAAGCAGACTGGGACGAGCAGAATGTAGACAACGCATCAGAAGAAGCCGGACCTCTCCCGTTATGCTTCGTCAACGTCCCCATGGACGAAGAAAACCCTCGCGAAAGCGCCAACGCCAAAGTCTTCTACCACTTCGCCGACAATGGTTACGTAACACCTGCGACAGTCAACACCAAAGAAGCAGAACGAATAGGGCCGAATTTCATACCCGACCCAGAAGCGGGAGATGAAACAGCTTATCCCGAGGACACAACTCTTCCCCGCTACTCACAGACTGGACTGCAGATTCTCGGCCTCGTCACCGCAGTCCACGGCAACGCTCTTCCTAAAGAGCCTGCGACGGTTCAGCAGGCTCTGGGGGGGGAACACAGGGAAAAATGGCGTGAAGCCATGGACAGAGAATTAAAGGCGCTGGAGGAACGTAACACCTGGAAAGTCGTTCCTATTAGCGTGGCAAGGAACAAGACCATTCTCACCGGGAAATGGGTCTTCCGCATCAAAACGGAGGCAGACGGCACAATCGAGAAATTCAAAACACGCTGGGTCGTGCGTGGATTCGATCAGGAGCACAGACGGGACTTCATCGAGACATTCGCCCCGGTCAGCCGACATACCTCACTCCGAATTCTCCTCGCGATCGCTGCTATGAAGAAGAAGAAATTGCGGCAAATAGATGTCGCCAACGCGTTCCTCTACGCACCCGTCGACGCCGAAATGTTCGTCGAACTTCCACATGGTACCCACGGGGAACCTAACCAAGTCTGTCAATTACTAAAATCGCTCTACGGGATCAAGCAAGCCCCGCGGCTATGGCAACAGTACCTACACGTTCGACTCACTCGCATCTGATTCCGCCAACTGCCTCACGACCAAGGAATGTACCGACTCACCAAAAACGCCGACTACATCCTGCTGATCGTCTACGTCGACGATTTACTCTACATTGTCTCTACTGGCGACATAACTTCCTGGTTCGAAGGGGAGCTGCAGAGGGACCTCACACTCACGGTCTCCTCTACTGTCACTCAGTACCTCGGCCTCAACATCCGCGAAGAAGAGAACGCGATCTATCTCAGCGCCGAAAAATACGCCGATACTATCGCCAAACGTTTTATGATCACACCAACAGCCATCTCCACGCCATACCGCTACACGGCAGGGAACGACAAGGGAGGTTCCGCCCTACTCAAACCCGCCGGCATACGAGACTACCAGAAGAAGATGCGATGCCTACTCTTCGCAGCCGTCACCTGTCGTCCCGACCTCTCATACTCTGCAAGCCAGCTCGCTACCTATCTCAAAAGGCCTGAAGCAGAACATCTGGCGGAGCTCGACCGCGCTCTCCAAAACTTCGTAAGCACTTCAACGATAGGCCTGACATACTACAAGAACACAACTACACCGACGAAACTAATCGGCTACGTCGATGCCGATCACGCCGGCGATTCAGACAACAGGCGCTCCCGCACTGGCTACATCTACCGCCTCGAACCTATCGGACCTATCTCCTGGCAATCAAGCAAGCAGGAACTAATCGCTCTCTCATCAGCTGAAGCAGAATATATCGCACTCTGCTCAGCCACCAAGGAAGGACTCTATCTTCGCGAGCTGCTGGAAGAAGCAAAGTTAGCCGAGTTACCCAACTTCACTCTGTTCTGCGACAACCAATCTGCGATTCGCATCGCCAACAAAAGCGGATTCGCGAACAGAACGAAGCATATCGCTCTGCGATATTTCTTCGTGAAAGATGAGATCGAGAAAGGGAAACTCAAACTATCCTACTGTCCCACGTCCGAGATGGCAGCTGACTACTTGACCAAGAAGCTCGGGAAACAGAAGTTCGAGTACTGCATGCTGCTGACTCGACAAAGCCACGTCACCATCAGCGACACTCCAGAAGCGAAGGGGAGTGTTGGGAACAAATAGCATTAAGCGCCTCTGTCGTGTCGAAACTCCAAGACACACGCGAAGCAGCGCAAATCGAAGCACCAGCGAATCAACCCTCGGAGGTTGATGTAACCGCTGGAGGTTACGCGAAAGTCAAAGGTCAGCGACCTTTGACCTGACAAATGCAGCGCGACAGCAAGGACACACTACTGACTTGACATTGAGCAGTTGCCCGAGTCGCACAGTATCGAACCGCAACAGTAGAGTAGTTACAATTATGTCTCTTCATATTCTCTGTGCTCATATATATATTCTTGTATCTCTTTGCTTTAATTAACTTACTTTGCCCTCACATACTAGCGCAAGGTGGTTGAAGGACTTAATTCAAAACGCTTCCGCTACTACATCATTTACTCAGACTTTAACTCTACCAAAGATCCTAGGGCGTTCAGCCCAACACACCCTAACAACTTTTAATGGATTTTTGGTAAGTCCCCCGGGTCTTTTATCTGGGAATAGACGGTAATCGTCTTTGCACTCTTCACTTGCTTTGCTACTAACAGGAATGCAGTGTTTCTCAATTTACTATTCGTAGCGATAACAATGCTTGCTTATTAGACGTCTGTTGAGGACATTTCCTCGAGAAACTTTGCCACAAGCTCGTAGACAAAAAAGGTGATTGCAGCAGATGGGGCGGCTTTGATAACGGAAGGCAGCACACCTTTATAGAGCCCCTCCACACCCTCGGTGGCCACTATCTTGCGCAGCGCGTCTACCATGCCGCGGTACGCCCTCGGCTGGATGCGTGCTCCGTACCGAGGATGGCGCCGCAGCCCCTCCACCTGCCCGGATCGATGGGGTCCGAGTGGGCGAAACGGAGAAGATATACGAAAAAACATCATGACTTAGTAGCTCAGGGGACGAGAGTCGTTTTACATGGATGGGAGGATGGCACAGCGTGGATGAGGATGGGACATGGAGTGGCATGGGATACGGGTACATGGCATCCCATGGAGTGGCATGGCATACATGGTATCTCATGGAGTGGCATGGCATACATGGCATCCCATGGAGTCAAATACCATGACATAGCATCGCAAGGCAAGGCAAAGCATGGGAGGGTATGGCAAGGACGGCAAGGCATGGGAACGCGTCAAAAGGTATTTGTAGGCATGAGAAGGCATGGGGAGGCATGGGAAGGCGTGGAAAGGCATGGGAGGGCATGGGAGGGCATGGGAGGGCATGGGAGGGCATGGGAGGGCATGGGAGGGCATGGGAGGGAAAGGGAGGGCATGGGAGGGCATGGGAGGGCATGGGAGGGCATGGGAGGGCATGGGGGGGCATGGGAGGGCATGGGAGGGCATGGGAGGGCATGGGAGGGCATGGGGGGGCATGGGAGGGCATGGGAGGGCATGGGAGGGCATGGGAGGGAAAGGGAGGGCATGGGAATGCATGGGAGGGCATGGGAGGGCATGGGGGAGCATGGGAGGGCATGGGAGGGCATGGGAGGGCATGGGAGGGCATGGGAGGGCATGGGGGAGCATGGGAGGGCATGGGAGGGCATGGGAAGGCATGGGCGGGCATGGGAGGGCATGGGGCGCCTTTTAGCAGCAGGATCAAGGAAAGGCATCACACTCACTTGGAATCGCTTTTTGACGACATCGAGTGGGTGGCAGGCGACCTTAGCGAGTGTGCCCGCTGCCAGCCCACACATGAACTGCTGCCATGCACTCAGCTGCCCCGATGACACGGCAGGCCGTGCCGCCCGCTCCACTGCCGATGCCACGGCTGGCGGGGCTGCTGCTGGTGAGAGTGATGGTGATGATGATGGTGAGGGTGATGGCGGCGGGGAGAGTGGCGCGGTGGACGGGGCTGTGGAGGGCAGGTGGGAGTGGGCGAGCGACACGGGGCGGTCGTGGCGAGCCTTGGAGCGCGACCAGTTGTAGTGCTGCATACAGTGAGAGGGGGCGCGCAGCAATGCCACGGACACAAGTGAGCTGGCTGATATGACAGACTGTATGATATAGGTATCATGAGATATGATAGGATAAAAAGTGGACGGTGTATGTTAGAGCAAGTCCAACACCGTTGGTTGGGCGCTGACAAACACTTTCGCAACGGATGAGGGCGAGATCAGTGAGAAGGCGTGATCGCTGAGCCTCCCCTCCGCACCGCAGTGCTGCTACCGGTGCCTCACGGCCACCAGAAAGCAGAGTGGGGCATTTTTGCTACAAGGGCGCATAGGGGAAGGGGTGCGAGAAGAAGGCAGAGGGGCGCGGGGTGGGGTGGGGTGGGGTGGGGTGGGGTAAGGCAGGGGCACGTACAGCGAGGTGGCGCTTGAAGGCATCGTAGAGGCCAAACTGCAGGCCGGCGCAGAGAAGAGCGGGGGATGGGGGGGACGGGGGGATGGGGGGACGGGGGGATGGGGGGATGGGGGGATGGGGGGACGGGGGGATGGGGGGATGGGGGGACGGGGGGATGGGGGGATGGGGAGCAGCACGTACAGCGAGGTGGCGCTTGAAGGCGTCGTAGAGGCCGAACTGCAGGCCGGCGTAGGGGATGATCTCCACCATGGTGGGCGGCAGCCCTGCAAACAGCCCCCTCACCCCGCGCTCCCTCACTATCCCCATGCACGCCGCCCTCATGCCCGCATACACCTGTGCACGCGCGTTGCAAGGGGTTGGGGTGAGCAGGGTTGAGTGAGAAGGGGTTGAGTGAGAAGAAGTTGAGTGAGAAGGGGTTGAGTGAGAAGGGGTGGCACCGAGAGAAAGAGGAGAGAAAGAGCACTGGAAAGTGAACCTGCCAGAGTGCAAGGGAGAAGCAGCTGCCATGATTGACTGCCCTCATGCCTTCTCCCCGCCACACCCTTGGCAAGTTGACACGCGTTGCCGTACAGCCCTGCCTCATGCCTCGTCCCTCACCTTGGGTTCGCCCTGCATCAGGCCTCATGCCGCACTCATATGCCGCACTCATATGCCGCACTCATATGCCGCACTCATATGCCGCACTCATATGCCGCACTCATATGCTGCACTCATATGCCGCACTCATATGCCGCACTCATATGCCGCACTCATATGCCGCACTCATATGCCGCACTCATATGCCGCACTCATATGCCGCACTCATATGCCGCACTCATATGCCGCACTCATATGCCGCACTCATATGCCGCACTCATATGCCGCACTCATATGCCGCACTCATATGCCGCACTCATATGCCGCACTCATATGCCGCACTCATATGCCGCACTCATATGCCGCACTCATATGCCGCACTCATATGCCGCACCCATATGCCGCAACCATATGCCGCACCCATATGCCGCACCCATATGCCGCACCCATATGCTGCACTCACCCATATGCCGCACTCATATGCCGCACCCATATGCCGCACCCATATGCCGCACCCATATGCCGCACCCATATGCCGCACCCATATGCCGCACTGATGCCAGCACTCATATGCCGCACTGATGCCAGCACTCATGCCTCGTCCCTCACCTTGGGTTCGCCCTGGGAAGCCAGCACGGTGCGCAGCAGGTCGAAGGGGTACGACCCCACCCCACCGTGGCCGCCATGCCTCATTAACGGAGAGCTCTGCGCGTTGACTTTTGAGTCGACTCAAATGCCATGCTGTGCCTCGTGTGATGCCATGCTGTGCCTCGTGTGATGCCATGCTGTGCCTCGTGTGATGCCATGCTGTGCCTCGTGTGATGCCATGCTGTGCCTCGTGTGATGCACGCACCTTGGGTTCGCCTTGTGAGGCGAGCACGGTGCGCAGCAGGTCGAAGGGGTACGACCCCACCGTGGCCGCCATGCCCGCCACCGACCCGCCCACGAATGACAGCTCCGGTCGCAGCTGCTTGTGGTCCTCTGCCAGGGGGCACACGGGGGCACACGGGGGCACACGAGGCATATGGAGGGAGACGTGGACGACGGGGATGAAGGGGAGCAGCGGTACGGCCCCACGAATGACAGCTCCGGCCGCAGCTGCTTGTGGTCATCTGCCAGGGGCGGGAAGCGAGGGGTAGGAAGGAGAAAGGGGGAAGAGGGTATCGCTGGTGTATGAGCGGGGAATTGAAGGGCGGGCGTGAAGGGATATCCTTACCAACGACAGCTGCAGCTTCCCGGGGTCTTGAAAAAGGGGGGAGGAGAGATAGGGGGAGGGGAAGGTTGTGAGGCATGAGGGGATGACAAAGGGAGAGTATGAGACTGGAGATGTCAGTTTCCCTGACAGTCATGGAGAGCGTGGGCATGGGAAGGGGAAGGGGGGCCACATCGCTTGTTTGACGTCCTCACTGCGTTACACAGCGCTTGTTTGACGTCCTCACTGCGCTACACAGCGCGTGTTTGACGTCCTCACTGCGCTACACAGCGCGTGTTTGACGTCCTCACTGGGCTACACAGCGCTTGTTTGACGTCCTCACTGCGCTACACAGCGCTTGTTTGACGTCCTCACTGCGCTACACAGCGCGTGTTTGGCGTCCTCACTGCGCTACCCCACCTTTCTCTCACTCGCCTCCTCACCCGCCGCACAGCCCGCCCTCCACCTCGCCTCCCCTGTTCGCTTGCCACCTGCCCTGTGCGCTCACCTGTGCGGTGTGAGCCGGTCATGAGCGATTTGAAGCGGTGGATGACGACGAACTGGATGGCGGTGTAGGGCATCACCAACAGCAGCCCCGGCACCGTGCCCCGCCAGAAGCCCTGCTCTCGGGGGAGAGAGAGGAACGGGGGAAAACGTGTTGGGAGGGTTGGGGAAACGAGGGAGATAGGGGAGGGGGAGGCAGGGCGAGGTGGGCTCTGGGCGAGGGAGAGGAGAAAAGTGGAGGCGCGGAGGGACGTGGGTGAACAAGGCTGGGATGAGGGAAGGTGAGACGAGGCATGGCAAGGGGACGGTTGACTGAGCATGGCCGGTGTGCACGGCCCGCCACCTGCCAGGCCGCTTCTCCCTGCCTGCAAAGATGCGCCTCTGCCCCTCACTCTTGCTGACAGCAGCTTCCAGCCCATTCAGCACATGCGGTAAGTTCGGGAACACCTTTGTTCCTCCGCCCACCCTCCCCAGGCACCCTCCCTCACTCCCCCTCTCCCCCTTCCCCACCCATTTTATCACTTCCCAACCGCCTTCCTCAACCAAAATCCCCTCCCTCCCCATTCCCGCCTCCTCTCCCTACCTCCCTCCCTCCTTTCCCACCGCCCCCCCCTCCTTATCACCTTCCGCCATCCCGCTCCACCCTTCATGCATCCATCCCTCCCGAGCCTCTACCCGTTCCTCCCACTGCCTTTTGAGTCGACTCAAAAGTCCATCCCTCCCGAGCCTCTACCCGTTCCTCCCACTGCCTGTCTCCCGGCCCCACCGCATTGCGACCAGCCATTCCGCCTATGGCAACCCCACAGCCAGAACCCTGAACCCCAGCTCAGCAAGCCATCGCCTCCCTCATTCCACTCTCTCGCCTCGGCCCTTCTCCATGCCCCTCCGACATCCCCCCTCCCCGCCCAGCCCCGCGCGCCCACCAGCCCCGCACGCACACCTGCACGCCTTCCTCGCGGAGGATCTCCCGCGCGGCCTGCAGCAGCCCCGTGTACTTGGACCGCGACGCCCGCACCGCGCCCGCCGCCGCCGTCGCCGCCGCGCGCCCAGCTGCGGAGGTGGCGGCGGCGGCGGCATGCGGCGCGTGGATGGGCTCCAGCTGCACCTGCGGGGATCGCGAGGACGGCGGGGTGAGCGCGGCAGCGGCGTGAGAGATAAGTGCGCGCCCGTTCGGGTAATCGCGGAGAGGAGTCATGGCGAGGCGAGCTGAGCTTCACAGACACGGCAGCTGCGTTGCAGCAATCGGTGAAAAACGGATCGCGGGGAGGCACTATGCAGCGTGAAGGCATGAGAACGATCCGAAGCACCTGCGAAGACGAAGCGACGAGAGGGTGCGAGGCATGGCGCGGGAGGCACCTGAAATCGGATCTTGATGACGTCGAGTGGCGACACCACGAGGCGCGCCACCCCGCCCGACACGGCGCCGGCGACGGCGTCGAGCACGGGGCGAGGCAGCAGGTGCTTCCTCTGCGCCCGCGGCGACGCCGATGCCGCAGATGCAGGCGACTCGGGCTCGCGGAATACTGTCATAGCTGTGATGGGAGCGGTGGGAGTCAGTGTGTGTTCGCGGCACGCTGGCGCGCTCAGCCTACAACTGGATGCATGGCGTAACGACCTCACGAGCACACCAACGTACGTGAGCCTTATCACTAGCGCACAATGAAACTTCCGTCCTACTAAAGCGGAGAGAGATATTTACGCCAGTTCGTCGGAGCAACAAAACAAATATCTAGGCCTTCCGGGTTTGTCCCAAGGTATTTGCAACCAATCAAAATGAATTGCGGGCCTCTCAACTAGTTGCCGATCTGATCGGCATTTTTGCCTTCGTCCTTGCGATTGCGATTGTGGTATCTCGTTCTCCACCGCTGTCGTGCGTGTTCGCGACATGTTCGGTCATCATGGTAACCAGTTTCCCGCGCACACACCCAAAGGAATGAACGAAGATGGAATTTCAAGTATGCAAAAACTCCCGACATTCATCAAACCACCTTGCTAACCTTGCAAATCTAGCTTGCCTTCACCTGCTTTCCTCCAAGCAAGTCGCAGTGCTCCAACGCGTCAACTCCTACAGCGACCATGGCAAACGTCACCGTATGCGTCAGGTTCCGGCCCCAGGTGAGTGCGAAGCGAATGAGCCCGTTGAGGCACGGCGCCTGTTGAAGCGACTAATGTGCTTTGTGGGGGTGACCAGAACAAGATCGAGCTGCACGAAGGCGGGTTGATCTGCGTCGAGAAGAACTGCGACCAATCCTTCTACTTGAAGGCACGCTGGCCGTCACATCGTTTTGTTTGTTTGTTCGTCCCTGCTACGGGAAGCGTCTAACGCAGCGCGAATTCCAGGATGAGAAGGAGGAGAAGACGCTGTTCACGTTCGACCGGACCTTCTACCAGGACTCGTCGCAGCAGGAAGTCTTCAGCTACGTCGCACTGCCCGTCGTGCAGGGTACGATGAATCGCCACGATCGCACGACGCCGCTTGACTTTTCCCCGCTAAAAGAACTGTCGCTTGGTGACCTGCAGATGCTCTTTCGGCAATCAACGGCACAGTGCTCGCGTATGGTCAGGTATGGCCGATTCAGCTCATCGATTCATGGCTCGTCGTACTAACTCGCCACCGTCCTCGCAGACCGGAGCGGGCAAGACGCACACGATGGAGGTGAGCACCGCCTCGCTCGCCGCATCACCCCGCTGCTTTGCGCGCCGAGCCTGACGGCGATCTGTGTGTGCGCAGGGGCCCAACATGCTCATCGACGACCCCGAGAGTTCCGGCATTCTCCCACGCGTCGCCAAGGAGATCTTCGTCCGCATCAATGCGTCGGACGCCCCCAGCGAATACAAAGTCGCTCTCTCTGTGGTAAAGCTTCAGGTTCAGAGTAATTGTCGATTTTGGTCTCAGGCCTGACACACGCTGACGGCACGATTTCGGCAGGTTGAGATTTACATGGAGCGGATCAGGTAAACTCCTTGTGCAAATCAACAGGTCGAAGCACGTTGAGTCTGACCCTCCTCTTGCGTATTTTTGTTTCTGCCACGGAAGCATTTCTGTTTTTAGCATCCTTGATGTGTTGCAATTCGAGCAGGGACCTCTACGATGTGTCAAAGGACAACCTGGTGGTGAAGGAGGACCAAACCCGAGGGATCTCCATTGCCGGCGTCACCGAGGTGAGCCTGCCTAGTATGGTGGTGACTCTCCTGTTGTGCTCATTGCTGTGCGTGCAGTAGTTTCACACGTTCATGCATGTGTTCGGTGCATTCTGCAGATATATGTTGAGGGCGAGAAGGAAATGCTTCAGCTTCTTGAGGTACGCTGTTCTCTGACTTTCTGCATTCGTTCGTTGGATGCCCACATAAGTTTACTGACTCTTTTCTTTCAGGCTGCAATCAAGAATCGGGCTGTTGGGGCCACCAGTAAGTGTCTTATGTCATCCTGTGGTTCTTATTGCTTGGTGTTGCTTGCAAGATTTTGATCCTCAAGTTACCGTTTTCTTTGCAGACATGAATCAGGGTAGCAGCCGCAGCCACTGCATGTTTCTTCTGACAATCCAACGAACCTCTGCGGATGGGAGCAGGTGTGGTAGTAAGAACTTCTTTTTTTACTTCTGCTGGCCGTCCATTTGTGCTCATCAGCAAATGTCTTTGGCAGCTCGCAAGTTGGGAAGATCTACCTTGTGGATTTGGCTGGCTCGGAGAAGGTTGAAAAGACAGGGGCGGAAGGACGACTGCTTGATGAGGCCAAGATGATCAACAAATCACTCTCTGCCTTGGGGAATGTCATTAATGCCCTCACATCCGGTGGGGTTTCATTCTTCTTATCCTGATTCCTGTCGTGTGCTGTAAAACTGAGGTTGAGAAACGCTGCAGATAAGGCGTCGCACATCCCCTATCGTGACTCCAAGCTCACTCGGATTTTGCAAGAATCGCTGGTGAGTCGAGCTGCATGTGAGTTGCCGCTTAAGTGGAGGCAACGGCTGAAGCATAATAAAACACTTCATTTGTCAATGCAGGGTGGAAATTCACGTACAACTTTACTCTGCTGCTGCTCCCCTTCCACTTACAACTATGCAGAATCCGTATCTACTGTCCGCTTCGGGTTAAGGTAGCAGTTTCAGACCACTTGATTTTGCATGCCGGCTTGCTTGACTGGCTCTCACGTGCACCCAATGCCAGGGCGAAGCAAATCAAGAATAAGCCTGTCGCCAATAGAGAGGTGGGGCGTGGGGAACTCCAGCGGCGCTTGCAGGATTCAGAGCTGGAGTGCGAGTTGCTGAGGCAGCACATTCAGACCCTCACCCTGGCCATTCAAAGGCTTCCTGGTGGAGGTTTGTCAACATAGAGCTTGCAGGATGGGCAGCAGCCTTGCAGTTCGTTTGGTAACCCTCTTTGCTGTCCATGCAGGTGAGGTTCTGAAGGACGTTGGCGATCCAATCGGCGAAAAAACTTCAGGATCCAATTGCATGAAGGTGCGTTTCTTAAAAAACCACCTTGGTGTTTATGATTCCTGCTTGTATGTTAACTCGTTTGATGTTCCGCAGGGAAGCCAAATGCTTGCTGCGTGCATTGAGGGGCTGCATGGCCTTCTTTCCAGTGAGGGCATGGCTCTGGCGTCTGAGCTACCCACCATTGAAGACATGAGTGACATTCCAAAGCTGCTGCCTGCTGTGGTGGAGAAACACCTCTCTAGTCAGTCCAGTGAGGGAAACGATGAGAAGGATTTGAAGTATCTTGAAGAGGCGATGGATGATATGGCTGCCCGTCTCAAGAAGGTGAGGAACTTGGTTGATGCGCCTGATCGTTCTTTCCAGATTTATATCGTCTTAATTTGCAATCGATTGTGCAGCTGGAAGCCAAGATTGCAAGATAGCACTGCTTTGACCACCATTTCTCTATGCTAGCATGTGCTGTGTGCACATTGGGATGGCTGCTTCGGAGGTTTGGGATGCAGGAAAAGTTCAGCTAGGTAGTGAGAATTTTGCAGCACATAATCTACCCATCTCCTGGTGGTGTTCTCTTGCACCATGTGTATTACTACTTCCCATCCATTGACATTAAGATGACCTTAACACTAAGCTAGGGCTGGTTATATTCTATGCTGTGCTTGCTCTGACCTCTTGTATTGCGATTTGCTGTTTGAGGGATGGAAAAACTGTGCTTGTATTCTACTCGGACATCCTTGTATCGAGTAATTTAGGGGGCTTTGGACAGTTCTCTATATCCTCGTTTCGTGCCTTCTGCGGTCTGACGGAAAAACAATTCCAAGGGGTGAATGAAGTGCCGCACAAATGGACGTGCCTAGGCGATTGCTCAACGACTGCCCGTTGCCCAAAAATCGTTGCTCGAAACGCATTCCAGACACCCGCCCAAACCGGAGCCGCACCCCTGCTCCCTGTTGAGTGACGCATGCTGGAGGAAAGGCGGTTAGGCCTGGTTGAGTTCGTTACATCTGGGTAGCAGCTGGGTTGGCCGACACTGCACTCACTTCATGCGGCATTTTCGATTCCCCCCCACCTCCTCCGTCCATCTCTTCGGACAAACTCTCACCTTCCCAGCGATAGCCCATTTCCGCAATTCGATCAGTTGTGTTTAGAAGTCAAGCCAGCTTCCTAGCTTCCTGCGAGTAATCTCCATTAACGTCTGGAACTAACAGGATCTGCGTAACCAGTGCCGTAGAGACTTATCGCATGGCGCGTTTCTCGCTGATATATGCTGCCATGTTTACTCTAGCTGTAGCGGTGACGGTGACGCTACCACTTTGCGAATGCGCCGAACCCTCTCGGAGGTAAGGTTCTGCTCTCGACGCAAACAAATGCCATGAGAAGTAGGTCGCCGAAACTCAGAAACCTGAAACCAGCGAGCACAGGAGAATTATCATGGGGGTGGTGGATCAATCAAATTTGGGAAGGCGAACCTCCTCTACTCAGTGTCAGTAAATTCACCTCACCAAATACTCGCTAAGTAGCATACTCAAGGAGAGCGAAGAGGGTAACGTGGCTGCCTTCACACCTCGCTGCGCCTCCCCTCATTCCCCGCCGCGCCTCCTCTCACACCTCGCCGCCCTCCCCTCGCACGCCTCCCCTCACACCTCGCCGCGCCTCCCCTCCCGCGCCTCCCCTCACGCCTCTCCGCGCCTTCCCTCGCGCTCACACTTCGCCGCGCCTCCCATCGCATCTCACCGCGCCTCCCCTCGCATCTCACCGCGCCTCCCCTCGCATCTCACCGCCCTCCTTGCTCGTGGCCAGCAGCCGTCCACTCCCTCAACCAACTCCTCGCCCATCTCACATACTGCTCACCTTGACCTCTCACGTTCGGCGTGTCCGCCCTCTCACGTTTGGCGGGGCCGCCATCTAACCTCGCGGGACCCGCCACTCTCACTCTCGCCGCGCCTGTCTTCTCACACTCTCCGCCCTTTCCCTTCGCACGGCGAATCTTTGCCCCCACTTTTACCCCCGGCACAACCTCAGTCTCCCCCAGCCTCCGCTCAGTTTCCCCACCTCTGCTTCCCCTACTTTTTCCTTCTGCCTCCCCTCAATTCCCCCCCCTGCTTTCCCACACTTCACCCCCTGTTTGCGCTCAGAATTTCCGCAACCTCCACTCAGATTCCCCCCTGCTTCCCCTCACTTCCCCCCCCTGCTCCCCCTCATTCTCCCCTCTGCTTCCCCCCATTCCCGCCCCTGCTTACCCTCACTTTCCCCCCAGCCTTCACTCAGCTTCCATTCTGCCCTCAGTTTCCCCCTGCACTTATCCCCACTCATACGCTCCGTCATCCCCCTGCGTACCCTCGCTTTCCTCTGTTTCCACTGTCCCTGTCTGGGCCTTCGCCACCTTCCCTCTTCCTTTCTCCCTTGTTTCCTCCTTCCCTATATACCTCCTCTCTCATTTCCCCACTTCTCTGTCCGCTTGTCCTACCACAACCACCTTCTTCTTTATCCCACCCCTTTGTCGCATTCTCTCCCTCTCTACTTATTTGACTCTCAAATCTCTCCCCTTACGCGTCTCCCGTTCCTTTCCCCCATGCGCGCGTGGCAGCGTCGCCATAACGCCCGCCAGCAACGCTGCCCGCGCCACCTACCGCAGCGAGATATTCCAGGCTGACGTCAGCATAGTGGTGGACGAAAAGTCCATTCTGTTTCAGGTGAGCACACGCGCATCCTTCCCTTTTGACTCGACTCGAAAGTCGTCACATTCCCATCCCTCACGGGCACGCCTCTCGCCCAGCTGCGTCATTGCGGTTGTGTGGCGTTGAACTTCGACTGGCATCCCCTCTGCCCGCCCTTGATTCACCCCGCTGCCTGCCAGGCGAGCCCCCCGCCCAACTTCAAGGACCTCTTCGCCTACACCAACCCCGCCTACGAGTCCTTCCCGCTCCCGCCTGGTGCGTATGCCCCGCATGCTCGCCCATACAGCACGCAGTGCCACATGGAACGCATGACCGTCCATAGAACGTGTCCAAGCTGCCTGTCGCGCGCTGTATCGCACGTGTCGCATGCAGCCACACCAGAACATGTCGATGCTATCGCTGCCGTAGGATTTACACGCGGAGCACGCCTGTGTGGGGTGGGGTGTGCGGCGTGGCAGGTTCGCCCAAGACGGTGTTCAACCACGTGGGTCTCATGTACAACCCCTTCGGCGCTCTGCCCTTCCTCGCTGGTAACCACTGCTCGCGCCTCCTTCCTTCCCTGTTGCCCAATTTCCTTTCCCTTCTGCTCCTGTTGCAAATCACTCGCATCTCACGCCACTCGCATCTCACGCCACTCGCATCTCACGCCACTCGCATCTCCCGCCACTCGCATCCCCTCGCCCCGCACACTCGAGTCTGCCACGCCTCGCAGCCTGAAACTCAACCTTGCATTTCTGTTCTCTCAATTTCTCTCCCACCTCCCACTTCCCTCGCCTTCCCTCCTCCTTTCTCGCACCTCACCTCGGCGCTATGGCTGGCTGTGCGGGGAGCAGGGCAGGAGGACCCAACGCCGGTGAACGGCACGCACGCAGTGAACGAAACATGCCTGTCGTGCTTCCTCTTCATCACCTTTTTCCACGTCGACCCCTCACTCGTCAACACCACGGGCGCCGGCTGTGCCTTCAACGACAACGGCTTCTGCAGCGTCACCAAGGGCACGCCCATCTTTCAGCCGCCCAGCAAGGACCTGCTGGGCGGCAGCTTTGCCACGTCATCGGGCACCATGTACAAGAGCCGCCCGCTGCTCTCGCCCTTTGGATCCAAGCTTCTCGCGAAATCCGTCCTCACCCCGCTGTGAGTTGTCATGCCTGCACTGTATGCCATCACTCCGCTGTATGCCATCACTCCGCTGTATGCCATCACTCCGCTGTATGCCATCACTCCGCTGTATGCCATCACTCCGCTGTATGCCATCACTCCGCTGTATGCCATCACTCCGCTGCATGTCATCACTCCGCTGTATGCCATCCTTATCCCGCTCTGAAATCATCCCACGTCTCCCATTCCGCCCTCTCGCTGCCTCCAACGCCCCGTTCCCAGCCTCGCTCCCCCAATCCCCCACCCCGCGTGCCCCCGCTCTCACACGCCAATCCCCTACTGCTCCTCTCCAATCATCCGTGCCGCTCATTCCTCCCAACCTCCCCCACCCGCGCCCTCTTCCCCCACCCGCGGCCCCTTCCCCCACCCGCGCCCTCTTCCCCCACCCGCGGCCCCTTCCCCCACCCGCGCCCTCTTCCCCCACCCGCGCCCTCTTCCCCCACCCGCGGCCCCTTCCCCCACCCGCGGCCCCCTCTCTGTGTGAGTGCAGGGCAGCGCCGCGGGTGGGCATGATCTGGACGAGCAGTGTGCAGCCGCCAGCGCTGTTTGGGTATGACGGCAAGGCCACACTGGGCCCCACCAACTACTACGCCACCAGCGACTCCCAGGTGCGTTGCCTTGCGTTGCGCGCCACACCGCCTCCTCTCTGCCCTCCGTCTCTCTCTCTGCCTGCCCCCTCTCTGTGCCCGCCTCCTCTCTCTGCCCGCCTCTCTCTGCCCGCCCTTCGTTGTGGCAGCCTCCTCGCTCTACCCGTTCTCATCCCTGTCAGCATAACGTACATGCTCCCAGCGCTCATCATCCAATTCCCCTCTCCCTTGTTCAAACCCCCTCCCTCCACCTCACACCAGCACCCTCCAACCCTTGCACCACCAACACGTTCCCATGCCCATGTCCATTGCACCACCAACACGTTCCCATGCCCATGTCCATGTCCATTGCACCACCAACACGTTCCCATACCCATGTCCATTGCACCACCAACACGTTCCCATGCCCATGTCCATTGCACCACCAACACGTTCCCATGCCCATGTCCATTGCACCACCAACGCGCGCTCCCCCCCACCAGGTGATGGGAATAGGGCAGGCGGTGAGCACCACGTACATCGACCTCTACGCCGGCTACTTCACAGCGAACCCCGAGACGCTCAACACACCCGTCACCACGAGCGTGTTTGACCGCCCTGCCAAGTACGGCGTGTCGGGGCTGTACCCCGGTGCCGCGTACTCGCAGGTCACGGGGTACCGCGGCATGTCCACCTTCACCTTCGGCTTCACCAACTTCACCCAGGCAAGTGCCGCTCTGCTCTGCCCCGCCAGGCAAGTGCCGCCCTGCTCTGCTCTTCACACAACAATTGTGCACCTCTTGTATGATCCGCACTGCTCCTCGTTTCACATTGCCTTTGTGACATGGATGCCTTGCCCTGATCCTCCGCGCAACTGGTGTGCTGGTGTGGGCGCATGTGAGCAGGTGGAGTCATCAGAGGCACCCAGGGGGGCCAACGCATCAACTTGCCTGCAAAGACGCATGCAAGCCCTTGTGATGCCCGTGCTGTTGCCATTGCTACTGCTCCTTCTCGCATGATTTC